CAGTAATACAATCACCTACAAGCACAAACACGAATACAGGCACACAATCACAGAATCACCCGTGATCACAGCACACAAGAAATATCCTATTCCACATGCAAAACAGACACCCCAGCGATGAAATTACATGACCAGTCACTGAGAGGCCACTCATCCAGCTCCTACCAGAAGGAACTGAGCAAAGACCTGGGTTAATTCCCTACTGTATCCCCGGCAACCAGAAGAACACATCATCGTCATCAGCAGCAGCAACCAAAAATGTTTCCTATGTGACAGGCACAATTCCAAGCACTTTTTTTTTTTTTTTTTTTGAGATGGTGTCTCACTCTGTTGCCCAAGCTGGAGTGCAGTGGCGCGATCTCGGCTCACTGCAATCTCTACCTCCTGGGTTCAAGCGATTCTCCTGCCCCAGCCTCCCAAGTGGCTGGGACTACAGGCACACACCACCACGGCCGGCTAGTTTTTGTATTTTTAGTAGAGATGGGGTTTCACCATCTTGGCCAGGCTGGTCATGAACTCCTGACCTCAGGTGATCCGCCCACCTCAGCCTCCCAAGGTGCTGGGATTACAGGCGTGAGCCACCGCGCCCAGCCACACTTTTTATTTAATGCTCTCAACAACCTTATTTGCAACAACCCATCTTATAGGTGGGAAAATTGAGATCCAAAGAAGTTTAGTGACTCGCCCAAGGTTTCACAGCCACTGACAGGCAGTCAGAATTTGGTGGGGTTTTTTTTTTTCTTTTTTTAGATGGAGACTTGTCCTGTCACCCAGGGCTGGAGTGCAATGGTGCGATCTCAGCTCACTACAACTTCCGCCTCCTGGGTTCAAGCAGTTCTCCTGCCTCAACCTCCCGAATAGCTGGGACTACAGGCACATGCCACCACACCCGGCTAATTTTTTGTGTGTGTTTTTACTAGAGACAGGGTTTCACCATATTGACCAGGCTGGTCTTGAACTCCTGACCTCAAGTGACCTGCCTGCCTCAGCCTCCCAAAGTGCTGGGATTACAGGTGTGAGCCACCATGCCCAGCCAGCAGTCAGAATTTGAACCCAGGCTGGGCACAGTGGCTCATGCCTTTAATCTCAACACTTTCGGAGGCAGAAGCAGAAGGATTGCTTGGGCCCAGGAGTTTGAGACCAGCCTGGGCAACATAGCAAGACTCTGTCGCTACAAAAAAATTTTAGAAATTAGCTGGCATGGTGGTGCACACCTGTGATCCCAGCTACTCAGGAGGCTTGAGTCGGGGAGGTCAAGGCTGCAGGGAGTCCTCCCACTCACTGCACTCCAGCCTGGACAACAGAGTGAGACTTTGTCTCAATAAAAAAAGAATTTGAGGCTGGGCGTGGTGGCTTACGCCTGTAATCCCTGCACTTTGGGAGGCCGAGGCAGTTGGATCACCTGAGGTTGAAAGTTCAAGACCAGCCTGCCAACATGGAGAAACCCCGTCTCTACTAAAAATGCAAAAAATTAGCCGGGCATGGTGGTGCACGCCTGTAATCCCAGTTACTTGGGAGGCTGAGGCAGGTGAATTGCTTGAACCTGGGAGGCGGAAGTTGCGGTAAGCTGAGATCTCACCATTGCCCTCCAGCCTGGGAAACAAGAGCGAAACTCGGTCTCAAAAAAAAAGAATTTGAACCCAGGCTTTCCCAGGCTTTCTGGCTCCAGAGTCCATCACATAAGGCTACCATTCAATAAATAATTGCTGCCTTAATCCACCAGAATTACAGAATCACAGTAACTGCGGACACACCCAAACGGCAGTGCAGTGTGTGGACTCACAGGAGGGCAATGCAGACACACAAATAGAAGAGACCCTCTCATATCACACCACAGACCACAGAAAAAGCACAGAGACACATCAATGGCAGTCAGGGATTGTCATGACAATTGGTCACAACCACACACAGAGACACAACACACAGAAACACAGGGGCACACCCAGAGCTCCCCAAGTCCCTCCTGTTCCGCTCCCAGCCCCGCTGGGCTGGCCCTCAAGGAAACAGCAGGTTGAGGATGGGAAGGGGGGCCACCCCACTTGTCCGCTCAGCCCAACTGGTTCCACCAGGGCCACAGATGGCACAACCCACCTTGTGAAACCCAAGTGATGACTGACCCATGTTGGGCAACTGGACTCAGACCTGGTCTGGATGCCTGGGTTCTGGGGAGAAAGGGCCTGGGAGCCTGGACTCCTGTATTTCCAAAGGAAGAGGGGGTTGGGTGCCCCATTCCTTCTAAGGGGGAAAAGGAGGATTGGGACCTGGACTCTCAGATCGTGAGGATGGAAGGCTGGGGCCTGGACTCCTAGATTCTGGGAAAAGAGGGGGCCGGAATCCTGGATTCCTCTGTCTTTGATGGTAGGGTTCCAGATTTAGCAAATAAAACTATAGGAAGCCCAATTTAATTTGAATTTTAGATAAATAACAAATACTTTTTTAGTATAAATATGTCCCAAATACTGCATGAAACATACTTATACTAAAAAAAACTGTTTGTTGCTTATCTGAATTTCAGATTTTACAGGACATCCTGTATTTTACGTGGCAACCCTGTTTGAGGAGGATGTAGGCCGATGCCTGGTGACTGGGCCACCATCACTCCTCAGCCCCCCAGGAGCTCCTCCTCCTGCTCATGGCCCTCCTCGCCCCCAAGCAGGCCACCTCACAGCTTCCCCAGTCTCTATTTCCTCACCTGCATGAATTGCTAGATCTAATTGGGGCCCCTAGGCTGTGTCAGGAGTGAGAGAGGAAACTTGAGGACAACTCAGAGTGTCATCCTGGGAGCCCTAGGGTCCTCGGAGATGACTGACCTTGAGTCACCTGCACCCTTAGTCTGGACAGCAGGGGGGATGGGGCCCTGTGGCTGCCTCCACGGGGCAGTTCTGGAGATGAAGAGAGATGGGAAGCGAGATTCAGAAGAGATTTTGACTTAGGAGACAGAGACCCTGCGATAAGGGCATAGAGACACAGAGCCTGGAAGGAGAGGGACCCAGAGATGGAGAGACAGAGATTTGGAAAGAGATTTGCAGAGATGAGGAAAGAAAGAGAGATTCACAGCTGGAAAGGTGAAGATGCAGGGTGAGAGACAAAGATTCAGAGATGGGGAGACAGGGATGTTAGGACACAAGTGGGAAGGAGACGTTCCCCAGACATCCAGGCTCCAGGGCCAATGATGGACGTGCACCGGCAAGACAGTGAGCGCTGCCGGGAGTTCTGGTGACAAGGAGACTCAACCATCTGGGTGGTGCTGGGAGACCAAGGCTTGGGTCCTAATGTGTTGGAGGCAGGGAGGGGATACCTCGGATCCCAGGCTAGCAGGGCGATCCACCTGCCATCACCCCATACCGTAGGGTGATGACACCACCTTCTCTGCAGGTGACACCCCAGTTTTCTAGTACCTCCTACATTTTTGGGGTGACACCCGTGCTGAGAACCCCACCCAGCTCTAACACTGCTTCCCTCACTGAGTCACCTCCCAACCCCGTCAGGCCTGTTGAGGGGAGACTTTGGCGACTCAGGCATCCAGGCCCCCAGCTCCTTCCCTGCTCAGGAGCCCAGCAGTGTGGAATCCCAGGACCCCTACCTTACTGAGGGATGTGCTCCTGGCCTCATGAGACACGGGAGTCCGGGGCCCCAGCCCCTCCTCCCTCAGACCCAGGGGTCCAAGCCCCCAGTCCTTTGCTCCATTAGGACCCAGGAGTCCCGGGTGACGTCCATGTCCTTCAGGAACTGCGGCTTTTCAGTTCCCAGCCTCCTCCCTTCCCAATTTGGAGCTGGGGTGAGGTGTGTTTATTTACTTTGGTTCCAACATGAGTCATTCCCCAAAACACACTGCCCCCCATGTGTCTCCTGGCTTGAATGGGGAGGACATTGTCCCTCTCTCCCAGGAAAGTGGGGACATCACTGAGAGTCTGATGAGAGACCCTGAAAGGGGAGTCCCACACAGCACTCTCTCGTACTCCACCTGGCCTTTCCCTCTCCCCACCCATCACCTCTCCCCATTTCCCTACCCTCTAAGCCTGTTCAGTGATTCCCCCACCTGCCTCTCCACTTTTCCATCTCCATCTCTCTTCTGTCTCCCATCTCCCCATTTTTTTTTTTTTTTTTTTTTTTTTTTGAGACAGTGACTGCCTCTGTCACTGAGGCTGGAGTGCAGTGGCAGGAACACGGCTCACTGCAGACTCAACCTTCTGGACTCAAGCAATCCTCCTGCCTCAGCCTCTCAAGTAGCTGGGACTACAGGCACATGCCACCATGCCCGGCTAATTTTATTTGTATTTTTTGTAGAGATGGGGTCTCCCCATGTTGCCCAGGCTGGTCTCCAACTCCTACGCTCAGGCGATCCTCTCGCCTCAGCCTCCCAAAGTGTTGGGATTACAGGCGAGAGCCACCACGCCTGGCCCATCTCCCCTCTTCTTGTTTTTTTTTTTTTTTTTTTTTGAGACGGAGTCTCACTCTGTCGCCCAGGCGGGAGTGCAGTGGCCGGATCTCAGCTCACTGCAAGCTCCGCCTCCTGGGTTTACGCCATTCTCCTGCCTCAGCCTCCCGAGTAGCTGGGACTACAGGCGCCTGCCGCCTCGCCCAGCTAGTTTTTTGTATTTTTTAGTAGAGACGGGGTTTCACCAGGTTAGCCAGGATGGTCTCGATCTCCTGACCTCGTGATCCGCCCGTCTCGGCCTCCCAAAGTGCTGGGATTACAGGCTTGAGCCACCGCGCCCAGCCTTCTTGTTATTTCTTTTCACATTTTTGTGCTCCTCTGTTTCTTGGCACCTCTCCATCCCTCTACATCTTCCTGTGTCTCTCCATCTCTCTGAATCTCCTACTGTCTCTCCCTTCTGTCTAGAGGGACTTCCCTGCCTGCCCTTCTGACACTGTGTTTCTGTCTCTCCCTCTCTTTTGGTCTCTGCACACTGACGCAGCTGTGGCCCCCCACACCCCTACCCCACCCCACCCTGCCGCCTTCTCTCCCCTCAGTCCTGGGAGCTGAAGCAGGAGGGGAAGTGGGGTGATGGGAGTGGAGAGGGAGGGCGGGAAATCCCAGTGCAGGGAGAGGGTCGACCAGACCGGCTTGGCTCCCTGGGCACCTCTGTCAGAGCCCCGCCCAGGGCTGCGTGGCCGCCCATATAAGTGGCTCTGGGCTGAGAGGGAGAAGTCAGTGCCTGTGTCTCCACACCTCTGTCTCCATCACTGCCTCACAGTCCTGCAGGTAGGAGCAACCCCTCTACAGCCCTCTTCTTTGAAGTTGGGTGCCTCTGCTCTGATCTCCCTCCTCTTCATCCCACTCATATCACTCTGTCTCCTTTCGTATCTCTGAATGTCTGTCTCTCGGGACATCTCTGTCCTTCCCAATGCCCCCAAATCCCTCCTTCTTAACTGGGGTGGGCTGAGCTGAATTTAGAAGTCCTGTGGCCCAGCATCACCTCTATGAACCCCCTTGGCCTGGGCCGTCAGACGCGGGGCGTTCCTCCTCATGTTTCTGAGCCTCAGTGTTCATCTGTGAGATGGACTTGCAGAGGAGTCAAAGTGCTGGGCACATGTGGGCGTTACTGGTGACATCTCTGTGGGCACCCGGCTCTGATATTTCTCCCCTTGTCTCTGATTCTGTCCATCTCCATTTCTTACTCTCTCTCAAGCTCTACCTCGGGTATGGGGAGGGTCCTCTGCCATCTGTCGGGCAGTTGGAAAGCGATGGGCGAGTTTCTCGCCCCCACCCTATCCATTCCCTACTCCTTGTCTCTCCTGGCCAGCAGGCTGACTTGGCCTCTTTCTCCCCAGCTCCTCTCCCCCTGAGAGCCCAGCCCCCGGTGCCCCAGTCCCTTGCCCCCACCTCCCCAGTATCCAGTGTCCCCTGGACAGACTCTGCCACTGTCGCCGCAGCCACTTCTGCCGTCCCCAACGCCACCTCCTCAGGGCCAGCAAGATGCAGTTTGAGATGCACGACAACGTGAAAGGCAAAGGTGGGATCACTGGGTGGACCAGCAACCCTCTCAGTACTGGAACCTGGCCGCCTCCCTCCCCTGGGCACCCCTGCTTCGAAGACAGACGGCGCCTGCTTCCACCCCAGAGGCCCCAGAAATGCTGCAACCCAGAACCCAGGCCCAGACATGGAGGAGGAGGAGGCACTGCCAGGCCCCACCCAGATGTGGTTCCCACCCTTCCTCGGATGTGCAGGAGACCCCCACCCCCAGCCTAACCAGACGTGCAGGACCCAGTAGCAACAGGGACAGACTGGGGTTGCCGGTACCCAGATGTGGCAGAAGGGAAGGGGGAGGCACAGTGGTGCCCCTTCAGTGGGCGGCCTGGTGGCCCCGCCCAGACTGCCCGGCAGAGGGAAGGGTGGCAGAAGTGCAGGGCACAAGAGGTGCTGCGAGGCTGCCAGCTGACCCCTACCCTCCCACCTCTGCAGCTATGTCCTACCCCGTGACCAGTCAGCCCCAGTGCGCCACCACCAGCTGCTACCAGACCCAGCTCAGTGACTGGCACACAGGTCTCACGGACTGCTGCAACGACATGCCTGTCTGTGAGTGCCTGCCTGCTCCCTCTCCAGGCCCAGTGGAAGGCGGGTTTGGGGGAAATTAGGAGAGGGAAGCTCACCTCCAACCTCCTCCCACCGCTTGCTAACCCCACTCCCACCTCCCTTCCTTGGACTCGGAATTCCCACTCTTTAACACTCACCCTTTCCTCAGACTCCCAACACTCCTTAGGATACTACCTCATGCCTTCCTACACTCAACTTCTCGGGCCCTCAAACCTCCCCCTTGCACTCTTAGCTTTCCTCACTGTGACGCCCAGCTCCCTCTTCAAACCATAACTCCTGGCCCAGTGCACTGGCTCACGCCTGTAATCCCAGCACTTTGGGAGGCCGTGGCAGGTGGATCACGAGGTCAGGAGTTCAAGACCAGTCTGGCCAAGATGGTGAAACCACGTCTCTACTAAAAATACAAAAAATTAACCGGGTGTGGTGGTGGGCACCTGTAAACTCAGCTACTCGGGAGGCTGAGGCAGAAAATTGCTTGAACCCGGGAGACAGAGGTTGCAGTGAGCCAAGATCGCGCCACTGCACTCCAGTCGGGGCAACAGTGTGAGACTCCATCTCAAAAAAATAAAAATAAAAAATAAAATTAGCCAGGGGTAGTGGCACACAGCAGTAGTCCCAAGCTATTCGGCAGGCTGAGGCGGGAGGATTGTTTGAGCACAGCAGATCCAGGCTACAGTGAGCCGTGTGATCACACCATTGCACTCCAGCCTGGATGACAGAGCGCGACTTTAATTTAGTTTTCTTTCTTTTTTTTTTTCTTTTTTTTTTTTTGAGACGGAGTATTGCTCTGTCGCCCAGGCTGGAATGCAATGGCACAGTCTAGGCTCACTGCAACCTCCGCCTCCCAGGTTCAAGCAATTCTCCTGCCTCAGCCTCCCAAGTAGCTGAGATTACAGGCGCCCACCACCACGCCCGGCTAATCTTTGTATTTTTAGTAGAGACGTGGTTTCACCATGTTGGCCAGGCTGGTCTCAAACGCCTGACATTGTGATCCGCCCGCCTCGGCCTCCCAAAGTGCTGGGCTTACGGGCGTGAGCCACCGCGCGCGGCCTCCAATTTCTAAAAACAGAGGAAGAAGAAGAAGAAAAAGAAAACCCTATCTTCCAATCGCTAAGCCATCCTCTCCTTGGACTTCCAATTCCCTCCGGGACCTCTCCTTGGCTGGGACCCTCATGCCCCTCTGCGACTAATCAGCCGTGCCCCTCCCCGGGGCGGAGCCGTTGGGAGGCCCCGGCTGGCCCGCCCCTGACCGCCTACGCCCCGCCCAGGTCTGTGCGGCACTTTTGCTCCCCTGTGCCTCGCCTGCCGCATCTCCGACGACTTCGGCGAGTGCTGCTGCGCGCCCTACCTGCCCGGAGGCCTGCACTCCATCCGCACCGGCATGCGGGAGCGCTACCACATTCAGGTGCGCGTGGGACTGGGGACCCGCGGGAGCAGGGAGCTGGGGACTGGCCTCCTGGGACCCACGGCAGGGCTCCTGACCGCTCTCTCCCACCCTCTAGGGCTCCGTCGGGCACGACTGGGCGGCCCTCACCTTTTGTCTGCCCTGCGCGCTCTGCCAGATGGCGCGGGAGCTGAAGATCCGAGAGTAAGGAAGTTCCCTGTCTTCCCCGTCCTTTTCCACCAGTCTCACCTCTGGCCTTATCTGGCCACTCCTGGGAGGGACTGCCTCACCACCCCTGTCTCGCTGCCAGAAATACACCCACAATAAAAACCTGAAAACCAACTCCGCCTACATCCATTTTGTCCCAGGGTAGGAATCTGGGTGGAGAGAGAGGATTGGTGAAAGAGGTGGGGACACTACAGATGCCTACGTGTGACCCCGCCAGGCAGTGTGTGACTTTGGCAAGTTATCCCTCCCAAACCCCAGGCGCCCTCACCTTAACAAAAACCACTAACGCTTTAGCTGCAGACTCCCTGCGTGAAGCTGCCTGCACTCTGAAAATAAGCAAAACCAGAAAGTCAGTCTTGGGAGGGCGGGGGCACTGAAGTTCAAAGGAACAACACAGGAGAGCGCCCTTGCTTGCTCCATGCCTATGGACTGTTTGGCCTGCACACAATTCGAACAGGCGTCGGCGACTTTTGTCTCCAAAGCAGAGAACTTCCAAGCTTAAGGCTCTCTGGAGCTGAAAAGCAATATTTTTTTCTTTTTTTCTTTTTTCTTTTTTTTTTTTTTGAGACGGAGTCTCATTCTGTTGCCCAGGCTGGAGTGCAATGGCGCGATCTCGCCTCACTGTAAGCTCTGCCTCCCGGGTTCACGCCATTCTCCTGCCTCAGCCTCCCGAGTAGCTGGGACTACAGGCGCCCGCCACCACGCCCGGCTAATTTTTTTTTTTTTTTTTTTTGTATTTTTAGTAGACAGGGTTTCACCGTGTTAGCCAGGATGATCTTGATCTCCTGACCTCGTGATCTGCCTGCCTTGGCCTCCCAAAGTACTAGGATTACAGGCGTGAGCCACCGCGCCCGGCTCCTTCTTCTTCTTCTTCTTCTTCTTCTTCTTCTTCTTCTTTTTTTTTTTTTTGAGACGTAATTTCGCTCTTGTCGCCCAGGCTGGAGTGCAATGGCGTGATCTTAGCTCACCACAACCTCCACCTCCTGGGTTCAAGCGATTCTCCTGCCTCAGACTCCCGAGTAGTTGGGATTACAGGCATGCGCCACCATCCCCAGCTAATTTTGCATTTTTGGTAGAGAGGGGGTTTCTCCATGTTGGTCAGGCTGGTCTTGAACTCCTGACCTCAGGTGATCCTCCCACCGTGGCCTCCCAAAGTGCTGGGATTACAGACATGAGTCACCGCGCCTGGCCTAAAAAGGAATTTTTAGGAACTGTCTACTTCAATCAATGCTCTTTCCTGCAAAAGCAACCAACAGCAGATCAAAAAATGTTCAGGTCTCAAAATTGGACAGACCTGGGATCTAATCTTGACTCCTCAACATTTAGCTGTGTTATCTTAGTGAATTCATAAACCTTTCTGAACCTGATTCCCCCTCTGGGGCTAACAATCCCTAGCATGTCATATGGCTATTGTGAGAACAAGAGATGGAATAGAGGGAAAGGCCAAAATGTGAACTCAAATCACTGTGGGCTGGATGTGGTGGCTCCTACCTCTAATCTCAATGCTTTGGGATGGCTGAGGCAGGAGTATCACTTCAGGCCAGGATTTGGAGACCAGCCTGGGCAACACAGCGAGACATCTCTACGAAAAATTTTTGAGCCAGGAGCAGTCACGCCTGTAATCCCAGCACTTTGGGAGGCTGAGGCAGGAGGATCGCTTGAGCCCAGGAATTCGAGACCAGCCTGGGCAACATGGCAAAACTGTGTCTACAAAAAATACACAAAAATTAACCAGGCATGAGGCTGGGCATGCTGGCTCATGCCTGTAATCCCAGTATTTTGGGAGGCAGAGGCAGTTGGATCACCTAAGGTCAGGAGTGCAAGACCAGCCCGGCCAACATGGCAAAACCCCGTCTCTACTAAAAAAAACAAAAATTAGCCAGGCATGGTGGTGGGTGCCTGTAATCCCAGCACTCAGGAGGCTGAGGCAGGAAAATCACTTGAACCCGGGAGGCAGAATTTGCAGTGAGCCGAGATTGCACCACAACACTCCAGCCTGGATGACAGAGCAAGACTCCTTCTCAATCAATCAATAAATAAATTAGCTGGGCATGGTGACGTGCACCTGAAGTCCCAGCTAATTGAGAGGCTAAGACAGGATGATCACTTGAGCCCAGAAGGTGAAGGCTGCAATGAGCTCACAGGATGAGACCCTAAGAAAAAAATAAGAAAAAGAAAAAATTTCTTAAAATTAGCTGGGCAAGGCTGGGCTTGGTGGTTTACGCCTGTAATCCCAGCACTTTGGGAGGCTGAGGTGGGCGGATCACGAGGTCAGCAGATCGAGACCATCCTGGCTAACACAGTGAAACTCCGTCTCTACTAAAAATACAAAAAATTAGCGGGGCATGGTGGCGGGCGCCTGTAGTCCCAGCTACTCAGGAGGCTGAGGCAAGAAAATGGCGTGAACCCAGGAGGCGGAGCTTACAGTGAGCCGAGATCACGCCACTGCACTCTAGCCTGGGTGACAGAGCGAGACTCCGTCTCAAAAAAAAAAAAGAAGTTAGCTGGGCATGTGGCTCACACCTATAGTTCCAACTACTCTGGAGGCTATGGTAGGAGGATCGCTTGAGTTCAGAAAGTCAACGCTGCAGTGAACTGTGATCACGCCACTGCACTCCAGCCCAGGTAACAGAGAAAGACCCTGTCTCAAAACAAAACAAAATCATTGTTTTTTGTTTTCTTAAGACAATCTCGTTCTGTCACCCAAACTGGAGTGCAGTGGCACCATCTCAGCTCACTGCAACCTCCACCTCCTGGGTTCCAGCAATTCTCGTGTCTCAGCCCCACAAGTAGCTGGGATTGCAAGCGTGTGCCACCATGCCTGGCTAATTTTTCTATTTTTAGTAAAGACAGTGTTTCACCATGTTGCCCAGGCTGTTCTCAAACTCCTGACCTCAAGCAATCCGCCTATCTTGGCCTATCAAAGTGCTGGGATTACAGGGGCAAGCCACCACACCTGGCCAAAATCATTGTTGTTATAATATGTATAATATAGCAACTATTCTAATTTTTTTTTTTTTTTTTTTTTTTTTAGGCAGAGTCTTGCTCTGTCGCCCAGGCTGGAGTGCAGTGGCACGATCTCGGCTCACTGCAAGCTCTGCCTCCCCAGTTCATGCCATTCTCCTGCCTCAGCCTCCCGAGTAGCTGGGACTACAGGCGCCCGCCACCTCGCCCGGCTCATGTTTTTGTATTTTTAGTAGAGATGGGGTTTCACCGTGTTAGCCAGGATGCTCTCGATCTCCTGACCTCATGATCCGCCTGCCTCAGCCTCCCAAAGTGCTGGGATTACAGGCATGAGCCACCATGCCCGGCCTATTCTAATATTAATATATTACTATTATTTGCTGTTCTCTCTCTCTCTCTTTCTCTGGAGCTGTATCCACTCATTGAGTGACATCTTCCCTCGGGATATCTAAGAACCATCTCAAATCTAACATATATAAAACCTAACTGCTGAGGTACCCCAATCCCCAAACCGCCTAGTCTTTGCCATGCCAGGAAACAGCAAACTCTACCCGTTCCGTTGCTCAGTCACTTTCTCTCTCACCCAGTGTCCAATCTGTCAACAAATGCTGCTGGTTCTCCCTTCAGAATATATCCAGAATCTCACCACTTCTCCCTGCTCTGCTATCCCGACCTTGTTCCAGCCACTCTCCTCTTCAATACGGACGCAGGGGCTTCCTCACTGGGCTTCCCACCCTCTTCTACCCCTTTAGCCTCTTCCTCCCAGGGGAATCCTGTGAACACCTACATCAGAGCCCATTCCTCCCAGGCTCAGAATCCTCCCATGGTGCCATCCCTGACAGAGTGGAAGCTTGAGTCATCACCGTGGTGCAGGGACCTGCAGGATATGGCTCTTGTTCCCTCTGTGACCTTGTCTGCCTATCTCCCCTTATTCCCTCTCTGCGCCAACCACATGAGTCTTGTTTCTCCGAAATGTCAGGCACACTCCAACCTCAGGGCCTTTGCACTGGCTGTTCCCTCAGCCTGGAATGCTCCTCCCTCAGATGTCCCTCTGGCTCACTCCCTCATTGCTGCTCATGTGTCGTCTTATGAGAGAGGCCTTCCCATCCTACCTATGTTAAATAGCAAGTCCCAGGCCAGGCACAGTGACTCAAGCCTGTAATCCCAGCACTTTGGGAGGCCGTGGTAGGGGAATCACTTGAGGTCGGGAGTTCACAACCAGCCTGGCCAACATAGTAAAACCCTGTCTCTACTAAAAATACAACAATTAGCCAGGCATGGTGACAGGCACCTGTAATCCCAGCTACTTGGGAGGCTGAGGCAGGAGAATCATTTGAGCCCGGGAGGCAGAGACCGCGCCATTGTACTTCAGCCTGGGCAACAAGAGCAAAACTCCGTCTCAAAAAAAGAAGAAAAAAAAAGCAGTGCCAACCCCCTGCTCTCTCACTACCTTTTCTATCACTTTCCAGCATGCAGCATCATTTACTTTTTTTTTTTTTTTTTTTAATTCTTTTTTTTGAGACGGAGTCTCGCTCTGTCACCCAGGCTGGAGTGCAGTGGCCCGATCTCGGCTCACAGCAAGCTCCGCCTCCCGGGTTCACGCCATTCTCCTGCCTCAGCCTCCCGAGTAGCTGGGACTACAGGCACCCGCCACCATGCCTGGCTAATTTTTTGTATTTTTAGTAGAGATGAGGTTTCACCGTGTTAGCCAGGATGGTCTCGATCTCCTGACCTCGTGATCCACCCGTCTCGGCCTCCCAAAGTGCTGGGATTACAGGCTTGAGCCACCACGCCCGGCCGCATCATTTACTTTTTATTGGGCACCACGCTGGCTTATCAGCTCCATGAGGGCAGAGACCTTGTTCACTACTCTGTCCCCAGCTCCCAGCACAATGCGGGGCCCATTGTAGGCAATCAGAAGACACTGGCTTAGAAAAGGGAAGCAACTTTGGAGGTAATGTATGGGGCAACGGAGACAGGCTTGTGAGTGGCTCGTCTCTTAATTAGCCCTGAGTTCTTAGGCAACAGAGCTTTTGAATGGGCAAAATGGAAAACCAAGCCAGCACCTCCCAGTGATGACGGGAAGATTAAGACTCACATCAAGCACCCAGCACAGTGTCTGGAGGGCTGTAGCTCTCAGTAAAATATTCCCTCTATCCCTGAAATCCCCAAGGGGTTGGGAGCCACACATAGCCTACAACTCAGGCATCCAGCCTTCCATGCCCAGACTCTCTCCCGCCTCAACATACGCCACTTGCACTCAGGTATGTGCAGGCAGAAGTGATAGTGGAGGGCTGACGTGGAGGGAGGAACACGTACCATAGGGCATTTGTGAGAGTCAGGGAGCGTGGCTATGCATCCCAGAGAAAAGGCCCAGTCATGGTGCAAATCGTCTTCTCAGGAGGTTGAAGCTACAGTGCGCCAAGATCACATCATAGCACTCCAGCTTGAGTGATAAAGCAAGATCATCTCCGAAAAAAAAAAGAAAAAAGAAAATACCGTGTTATTCCTGGCCCATAACGGAGACTCACACACCCTCTGAGTCCAACACATCGTCCTCCTCTGCTGAGCACCTGATGAAGCAACCAGCTTGCACTTAGGAGCGGGGTTGTGCAGAAAAGATTACATTGTTTAACACACCCAGCAAGATGCCTACGCTGCTGAGGCTGATGGAGGGATCTCCAGCTCCCACCTGGGAGGAATCAGGGCTTTTGTTTGCCCAGGTGCATACCAGGTAAAGCAGCTCTCACAATGCTTTCAGTTTTGGCTATGACTCTCATCAAAGTAGAGAAAGCTCATTGTTTTAGGGTCTCATTTCATTCTCGGCCCTGTCTGGTTCGAACCCTTCTATCAGGGCCTGGAATAAAATCTGTGCCTGAGTTAGGCATGGTGGCTCACACCTATAATCCCAACACTTTGGGAGGCCAAGGTGGGAGAGGATCACTTGAGCTCCAGAATTCAAGACCAGCCTGGGCAACATGGTGAAACCTCATCTCTACCAAAATTACAAAAATTAGCTGGGTGAGGTGGTACACGTCTGTAGTTCCAGCTACTTGGGAGGCTGAAGTGGGGGGATCGCCTGAGCCCAGGAAGCTGAGGCTTCAGTGAGCAATGATTGCACCACTTCACTCCAGCCTGTGTCACAGAAAAAGAGACACCGTGTCAAAAACAAACAAACAAACAAAAAACCAAGGCCAAGTGCGGTGGCTCATGCCTGTAATCCCAGCACTTTGGGAGCCAAGGTAGGCGGATCACTTGAGGTCAGGAGTTTGAGACCAGCCTGGCCAACACGGTGAACCTTGTCTCCTCTAAAGATATAAAAAAGTTAGCCAGGCATGGTGGCGCATGCCTGTAATCCCAGCTACTTGTGGGCTGAGGCACACAAATCACTTGAACCTGGGATATGGAGGTTGCAGTGAGCCAAGATCACACCACTGCACACTAGCCTGGGCAACAGAGTGAGACTGTCCGCTCAAAAAGCAAAACAACAACAAAAAGCCATAGCTGGGACCAAGGCAGCCTATTTCCCCTCCTGAGCCAAACTGGGGTCTCCCTGAGGAAGATCTAGGGAAGGGTCAAAAGCCACTGCCCACGTCTCCCCTCGGCGCATCCCTTCTGGGAAACAAGAGCTGTTTATTGGTATTTATTATGCTTCTGTTGTGGCAGACCCTTCCCCCTTCCGCCTTTAGGAGGGGCAGTCAGGAACAAAGCCATCCCAGCTTGGAAGTGGTACCATCATAAGGGCAATTATCCAAGTTATTCAGTGTTCGGGGCTGCATCAGAGTTGAGACCCAGCCCTCCTGAGACATGTGCAGATGCACTCAGACACCTGGGTCTTGCCCATACTTTTTATTTGTTAATTTCGTCACTCCCCTCTTCTTCCGATGTGGTCCCAGCCACCTCTGACATGCATGCATTGGCAGGGCCTCTCACACTGAGGCTCCACATGAAGGGAAGATGCAGAATCCAGTTTCTCCAGGAGCTAGTGATGGAAGTCTTGGGAAAGGAGAGTCTCAAGTTCAAGAAGACAGCTAGGGTCAAAGGGAGGGAGGTCCTCAAGGGGTAGAGAACAGGAGTCCAAGGAGGTGGCTCAGGTGTGGCGTGGCCCCTCGGGAGAGCCCAGAAATCTTCCAGATAGCACTGTCTGGAACAGGGCTGTGCAGTGACGGTACCAGCATTTTCATCCCCAACCTCAGTGTCCCCCATGCCCACCTCGGGTGGGATCTCAGGCAGAGGTTTTGTCCCCTCTGAGGCTCCCCCTGAACACACCTCTGTTGTTCCAGCATTCGCTGCATGACCCTGGTCCTGGTGAGGTAACACCACTGCTGAGCTTTGTCCCTGCAGCCTGGGGATCCTGCTCACCTCTGGGCTGTCTCATGATGCCATCTATCTCTTCCCAGCCACTTCCCTCGCCAGCACTACCAATCCCCCTACTCAATTTCTGCTGTTGAAATATTCAGTGTTTCTGTATCCCTAGTTGGACCTGAGTGAAGAGATGTCTGAAGGGCATCTCATGTCAAGAACCAGACTCTGATCTTCCTCACAAGCCCCACTCTCCCCCATTCAATTAACGACCCCCTCAGCCATCCACAGTTCAGGCCACAAAGCTAGGGGTCATCGTGGATTTGTCTCCTCCCTCACCCTGACGTCCACACCATCATTATATTCTTCCACACACATCCCGCATCTCAGCGGGACTCACTCATTGCCACCACCCTATTCCAGTCCACCATCCCTGCTGCCCCTCTTGTCCCTCCAGTCCATTCTCCACAGCACAACTAAGTGACCTCTTAAATTTTTTGAGATGGAGTCTCGCTGTCGCCGAGGTTGGAGTACAGTGGCGCAATCTGAGTGCACTGCAACCTCTGCCTCCCAGGTTCAAGCAATTCTCCTGCCTCAGCCTCCCAAGTAGCTGGGACTACAGGTGTGCGCCACCACGCCCGGCTAATTTTTGCATTTTTAGTAGACACGGGGTTTCACCATATTGGCCAGGCTGGTCTCGAACTCCTGACCTTGTGATCAGCCCGCCTTGGCCTCCCAAAGTGCTGGGATTATAGGCATGAGCCACCGCACCCAGCCCTCTTAAATTCTGAAATAGGTACATCGGATCCTGTCACTCCCCTTCATCAAACCATCCAACAGCTTCCCGTTGCCCTGAGAATAAAACCCAAAACCCTGTGTGGGGTCCACAAGGCCCTGGGTGATCCAGCCCCTGCCTGTCCCCAGTCTCATCTCCTCACACTTGATCTGGGTCACACTTGCCAGTTTTCAGTCCTTCCAATAAAACAACCCTGCTCCCACCCCAGGGCCTCTGCCTTCACTTCCCGAAGCTCTTCCCGTGGCTGGTTCTTCTCAGGCATTCTCAGTCTAGCTTCTCTGAATGTCCAGCAGACTTCACCCCGTCGTCCCTCACTGCCACGTCCTCTGGAGGCCTCACGGCACTTCTCCCTCTCTGAAACCATGTTACTCGTGTGTGCACATGTGCAAGTGTTCATGTGTGTGTGCATGTGGGGTGTGTGCGTGTGAACTGATTGTCTCCCTTCACTAGAACCTAAGTACCATGAGATCAGGGAACCTCGTCTCTCCGTTCCTGCTTTGCCCCATGCCTATGACAGTGCCTGACAGAGTAGGTACTCAATAAATAGCTGCTGAATGCAGAACAAAGGAGGCCCCGTCGGGGCACCCCTGAGGGAAGGGAGCCAGTGGTCTCCAAGGAGACAGTGTCCAGGGGCCCCCAGGTGAAGGGACCCCAAGTCCAGGGCGGCCCCATTGGGTGACCCAGCTGCTGTGGATGAGGACCCTTGGCATGTCAGAGGGACATGCTGGTGAGGTTGTCCTGGCTCAACAGTCCCTTCCGGCCCACACCAGCCCCATGCCCACTGCCCCCAGCAACCCCGCCACCCCCACAGTACTCATGCAGCCTGTGCCGCAGTGTGACGAGGGCTGACCCCAGGCAGGCGCCGTTGGGTGCATGGGGCCCGCCAGGCAGCTGGAGCAGCAGGGTGGCCACGCCGGCCATGCCATCTTCTGTGGGCTCGAGGGTGATGGGCCCAGCTCGCAGCCCAGCAGTGGTGGCAGGGATGGCTGGCGGGCAGCAGCCCCCTCCCATGGGTCCCCAGGGACCACCGGCCCCTGTCAGCAGCAGGGGTGCCAGGAAGGGCTCAGAGCGGCGGAAGGCGGGTGGTGGGAGCCCAGCTGGCTTCCAGACGGGGGCCAGGGCAGTAGGGTCAGGTGGGAAGCAGACAGTGACCTTGGCGAAGGGGCGGCTGGCCATCTTGGTCATCTCCTGCAAGTGCCGGCGTTGCTCCTGCCGCTGATCCAGAGCCTGTTTGGCCTTCCAGAGGAGCACACAGAGTGAGAGGAAGAGGAAGAAGCAGGAGAAGAAGACGGAGAAGAAGACAAACAGGTCGATGTGGGCCTGGTCCTGCCGGAAGAAGAGCAGACCCTGCGAGTCGGCTGAGCCATTGGCACCGGGTCCACTTGGGTCTCCCACACCCAGCAGCAGCAGGTAGAAGCGGCTCGACTTGAGGGCATGGTGCTCGTGCGGGTAGGTGATGACCAGCCGGTCCCGCACACTGTGGACCACCAGCACTGCCGACGGCTCCGTCACTGTCACGTAGGTAATCAGGCCCTGCGGCCACACCTCCCGTACCCGTGGCTCTGCTGGGGCGCCCGGTTCACTGCTGGCTCCTGCTCCTCCTGGATCCCCGGCCCCCCGGGGCCCACCATCTGCAAGGGGTGGCGGAGGTGGTGGGGGTTGGGATGCCTGGATGTGTACTGTATGGATGCCAGTGTCAGGGGCCACACGGACCACAAAGGTGTCATAGGAGGTGGAGACATAGAGGTCCACAGCCCCAAAGGTCACGTCCAGCGTCAGGCGGATGTCCACGTTGGTGAATTTGGGCTGCACACCAAAGAGGACAGTGCGGCCAGGGCCTAGTGCCCGGCGCTTGGGCTCATGGAAGCAGTTGGTCTGCGACGTGGGGTCCAGGCAGCACTCCTGCTCCACTGAGATGAGGCGGTAGCACTGCTGGCCGCCCAGCGGGTTCCCATGGAATGATTCTCGGCACTTAGCACACTGCGGGCAGGGTTAGAGGCGGTGGCCATCAGGGCTGAGCACGGTGCCAGCCTGTCCCCCAAGCAGCAGTGACGAATACTCTATACCTACTGCTAAGTAGCCATTGCCCTGGGCCTCACCCCCACTGCCCCAGTCACTTCCCTGTGACCCCTGGACCTTCTCTGCCACAGTGTAGACCTTGCCAGGACCTGACACTCCAGCACTGCTGCCCCTGGTGTCACCCTAGTGACCTGAGCACCCTGATACTGAGGCCTCTGGCACTCTGAGGCACAGCAACAAAGAACACTGCTGCATTCCGGCTCTACCTCCTTGCTAGCTGTGTGGCCTTGGACTAGTGACTTAACCTCACTGAGCCTGAGCACACAGACTTAACCCATGAGCTCTGCACATAGGGAGTAACCATGGCTTGCTCACAGGACCGCTGAGATCATGTGCATGGCACTTGGCGCAGGGTCAGCCAGCCTCGCCCGCCTGCCTGGATGCTTCTATACTGTGCCAGGGGTCCTCCCACCCCGGGGCCTTTGCACTGATGGACCCTCTGCCTGCATGGTTCTCCTCTCACATGCCAGCTTGTGGGGCCCCCTTGCCTCCTTCAGGTCTTTGCTCAAGAGCCTCCTTCTCACCTAGGCCTTCCCTGGCCACTGTGTCCTGTGTCTACCATTACCATTCCCACTCCCCAACAGCCCTAGCCCCTGCTTTCTACTTAACTTTCCTTAGAGCTCATCACTGCCTAACACATGAGCATCTGACTTGTTTGTTCATTTCTGGATGCCTCCATGAGAATACAAACTCCTAAAAACAGAATATTTGCCTGCTTTGTTCCCTACTGTGTCCCCAGCAACCCACACAGTGCTTGCCATATACTAGATGCTCAATGACTGTGTGCTGAATGAATGTGTGGCTGGATGGATAACGGCTCTGATTCCTGTGGCTTAGTGGAAACCACTCAAGTTCTGAGATCAGATCAGGGTCACTCCAGGCTCCAAGGCTAACTGACCACCTGATCTGGGATGATACTTCTTTTTTTTTTTTTTTTTTTTCCTGAGACAGAGTCTTGCTCTGTTGCCCAGGCAGGAGTGCAGTGGTGTGATCCTGGCTCACTGCAACCTCTGCCTCCCACGTTCAAGCGATTCTCCTGCCTCAGCCTCCCGAGTAGCTGGGATTACAGGTGCCTGCCACCACGCCCAACTAATTTTTGTATTTTTAGTAGAGAAGGGGTTTCATCATGTTGGCCAGGCTGGTCTCGAACTCCTGACCTCAAGTGATCTGCCCGCCTCAGCCTCTCAAAGTGCTGGCATGAGTCACTGTGCCCAGCTAGGACATTTGATGTCTCTGAATCTGTCTTCCTCTTAAGTCTGTACCCCACTGAGGCCCCAGCACAGTCTTGCAAAGTCTTTCACATCTATGCTGTCACCACTGTCTACACAGCACAGCATCCAGCTCTGTGGCAGGTGCTCCTGGCATTCTAGTTATTACTGCAATCACTATTAGAACCAAGAGAAAACAGGCACAGTGACTCATGCCTGTAATCCCACTGCTTCGGGAGGCTGAGGCAGGAGTGCCGCTTGTGCCCAGGAGTTCGAGACCAGTCTGGGCAACACAGTAAGACCCCCATCTTTAAAAAAAAAAATTTAAATTAGCCAGGCATGGTGGTGTGTGCCTATAGTTACAGTTCCTCAGGAGGGTGAGGCAGGAGGATCACTTGAGCTCAGGAGTTCAAGGCTGCAGTGAACTATGATTGCACCATTATGCTCTAGCCTGGGTGACAGAGTGAGCCCAGTATCAAAAAAAAAAAAAAAAAAAAAAAAAAAAGCATGACCAGGCACGGTGGGTCATGCCTATAATCCCAACACTTTGAGAAGCCAAGGTGAGTGGATTGCTTGAGCTCAGGAGTTCAAGACTAGCCTGGG